ATTGGGTCCGTCGATCTAGTCTGCCTGACAGGGCTTCACTAAAACAAGAATTACTTTTTACTCGGAGGTTGGATTTTAGTATACTCAGTGGCGTTGGAAAGATAATTCAATTATCTATCTAACCATAAGTCATGTGACACATAATTCATTTTGGGCTAAAAGTTATGACCATCTGAAGTTGACCCATCAATATTTTTTCATCTAACTAGCTGCTAACCTCATCTACGGTCAGACCTACGGACCGTGGATCGAATGACGGTACGTGCTGGTCAACCGTAGTTCGGGACTGAAGCTGGGCTTTTGGGGCATCGATCCACGGACATGAACTACGGTCCGTGACTTGACCTATAGACCGTAAGTCCGGCCATGGGTCAACACTTAGCCAAATTTTCTGACTGAGTTCTGGGGAAGTTTTCTGTCACGAACCACGGACCTGCAGGACGGACCGTGAGTCCATCTACAGTCCGTGGATGGTGTCCGTGAGTGCCACCTGTAACACCAGAAATCTAAAATCTCTATTTTCGGATACGGGGTGTTACAGGCATTGATCTAGCATTCCACTTGGTAAACTGATGAATCCATCACAAAACCATAACTGAAATAATTGGAGGGAAGTCAAATAGTTATCTCCACTGGGAACAGGAAAAGAACTGAAATTGGTGCAGTTGGCAATCATTAATCTCTTAAGAGAATGGAGATTGTACAAGCTTTGTGGAAATTCACGAAACTCTCTGCAGTCGAAGACCGATATGTATTGAAGAGAAATGTTGTTGCGTAGCATCTCATCTGGAAGACAAGTGAGTTTTTTCACATTACCAACAGCAAGATCCACAAGAGATGTCAAGTTGCTGCACAAGTTCAATAATGGCATTTCATTGTCAACTCCATCAATTCTTAATTTATGGAGGATTTCAAATTGAGTTGGAGTACTTTTTAACAATGGACAGTCTTTAATCCTCAACTTCTCAAGCCTAGGAAACATTCTTACTCCAACTTCATCTCCATTCCACTCAATAAGGCTACGTATATCCTTCAATACTAGTTCTTTCAATGACGGGAACACTTGGATAATGCTGCTTGATCCAATATTGCTAATCTCAACACCATATAAAGCAGGTCCAATGCATTCCAACTTATGGAATCCTACCAGCTCAAGATGCTGAAGGAATTTCAATTGGCCAAGGGATGGAATTTCTTTGCACCTTTTGCAACCACTTAATTTCAACTTGACCAAATTTGGTAGCGACTCTTCACTGAACCATGAAGGAAATTTAGTCCCTAAATAGTCCACTACTAATAGGGATTTCAAGTTAGGATGCAGTTGAAGACCATCCAACACATGTTCATCATTGATCTCACAGCCTTCGGATTCATCATGGGACCATAAATATGCCAGCTTGTAGATATTTGGTTTCTCCTTTATATATGCTGTTTGAGCGTCTTCTTTATTTCCGACTAATTGGAGACATTTGATCGTCAGTTCACCTCTAAGGTTTTTCAAACGACCTAATGTTGGGTTTTAAAGGTGTGAACAGGAAATGAAGGGTTGTAACTCTCCTGAAGAGTTGTGACTATGCCGAAGGGTTGTGAACTTTATGAAAGGTTGTGTCCTTTCTAAAGGATTGTGACCGTTTGAAAGGTTATGACTTTTCCAAAGTGTTGTGACATTTCTGAAAGGTTGTCTTCTTTCCAAAGGGTTGTGACCTTTACCCTTTGTTGGCTATAAATAGAGAGGTTTTCTCTCATTTTTCTGTATCGAATTCTTCCCTTCTTTTGCATACATTTCTTACAAAACAAAATCGATCGATCGTGTCTATGTGTGTGATTCGTTGCTGTCATTTTGAGTTCGTTGAAATTATCGAAGTTTGAGGTACCGCTACTTCTTTAATGGTTAATCCGTTTTATCTTGGGAGGAATTAATCTGCAACCTCCGGTACTTGAGGGGATTAAATTTCTTAAGGACACACAGTGAGTTCTGTGGACTCGGATAGTTCTTTGTGTTTTTCTTTACATCTTTTATTATTTCTGGTTTGCTAATCTGAATACAGGAGATAACACCTAATTCTTCGATTTGACGACCTTTCTCTAAACCTACGTAGAAAAACTGTAGCGTCTGAAGACTGGTCAATTGCCCCATATTAAGTGGCATCTGAAACTGGTCATGAATTTCTGATTGGTAATATATGTGTCTCAAACTTACCATACTTGCCATTTCTCTTGGAAGCTTCCTGAGTGAAGAAAAATCATTGACTCTAAATGTTTGCAAATTGTAGAGCTTGCAAATGGAGTTGGGAAAGTCTTCGATTTGAGTGTTCGAGAGATCAAGATATCTCAAGTATATTAGCTTGCTGATTTTGACTGACAACTCCTTGATGCCTGATCCGGACAAATTTAAAACTCTCAAGAACTGAAAGCTCAATAGCATATCATCAGATATATTGCTTTTCCAGAACAATGTGCACAAATGTCCTGCCTCATGTTGGGACCGCGCGTACCACCACCCTAACTCCACATTAGTATGATATTGTCCGCTTTGGGTCAAGCCCTCACGGATTTGTTTTTGGGCACATCCCAAAAGGCCTCATACTAATGGAGTTGGTTGAGCACTTATATATTGGTACATTTCTTCTTCTACATCCGATGTGGGATAGGTTTGTTACCCAACACCTCATTCATCGTATCCACTTGATCACTTGGTGAGTCCCATCCAAAGTATCGAGCTTGAGAAAGATTTTCACCTCCAACACTTTTCGTATCAAATAGTTTAGATTTTAATGTATCTCCAGCCAAATCATGCATGTTACAGTGTGTTATATTGTTGTGCTCATCTAGCTCAAAATCTTGCAGCAAGGAATATTTCAACAAATGTTGAAAAAACTTGTTCCCTACGTCTTCCATCACAGGGATCTCTTGACTTGGACAAAGAAACCCTTCTGCCATCCAGAGTTGGATTAGTTGCTCCTTCTCAAACTCAAAATCTTTTGGAAACATTGCAAAGTAGCCAAAACATTTTTTCAGATGTGGAGATGGTAGATAATCATAGCTTAGTTTTAGGATCTTCATTATGCTATTTTCCCCTGCAACAAGGGGGTTGCCATCAAGAATTGCCTGCCATTCATGTTTATCCTTGTTGCCTAAGAGGCCTCCCAATACAGTTGCAGCCAACGGTAGACCTTGACACATTTCAACAATCTTGTTCTTCATGCTCAGCATTTCCTCCGGAACTTCCCCAACAACAAATGCACTTTGTCTGAAAATGGACCAACAATGATCTTTTGCTAATTTTTCCAACATATGAGGACCTATTGTTGTTACTATGGACGCCACCAGTTCCATACGAGTTGTCACGAGAATGAAGTTTCCTCGGGATGTATTTATTCCTCTCAAGGTGTTCAAGATATCATGCCACAATAATGGGTTCACATGCCACAGATCATCCAGGACAAGCAAGTACTTTCTTCCTGTCAGTTCATCTCGGAGCATCTTGACTATTACATCTCTGCCTGGACCTCAACTTTTCTTTTTGTCAAATGTTCGAGGATCATTGTAAAAAAGCTCTTAGTTTCTGCCATTTCAGGTAGGCACAACCAAACACTCTTTTCGAACTGCTGCTTGATGTGTTCGTCATCGAAAATTTTCTTTGCCAGAGTAGTTTTCCCTAAACCCGCCATACCCACTATGGGAATGGTGCACTAAACATCATCCTTTCTCATGTTCAACATCTTCTCCTTTATTTCAGCAACATCTTGGTCTCTACCAACAACATCCGAAGCAACTACTGTAGAATCTGTTTCTCGGATTGGTAGTTTTTGAAAAGGAACAGTCAGTGGTCGGAGACCGAGGTCATTGGCTAACTGATTGATAGCCCTCAACTCTTTATTGATCTTTTTGATTTTTCGAGACATTTCGTACTTGAAAGCAGTATGTGAAAAGACGTTGCGGTTGTTCATCACTTGTGCTTGGAGAGATTCATATGTGAATTTGTCAAACACATTTTCAGCATCTTCAGCAATTCTCTCAAGCATCTTAAGCCATTCTTCCACAGCCTGATCTTCGATTTGTCGTCTTTCAGCATCATGAATGAAAGCTTGGATAATGGATACATATTTTTTCAGCTTTCCGAGATTTTTCTTGCAGTTCCTTAAAGTTTTGGCCTCCTCAGTAGTAAAAGAAAGTAGCTTGCCTAGCCCAACTTTAACAGTAGTGTTGACACCCAATTTTGGACATCCACAATATAGATTAATCATCGAGTTTCTTCAATTTTAAACGTTTTAAAATAATTAGTTTTACAATTAAATCAAATTAAAAAATAGTTTGCAAGTTATTTTAAATAGTTTTATCACTTATTTTATAATTTTTAGATAATATATATGTTTTACATGATTATGTATATAATTATTATATTTTATGAATATTCAAAAATCGTCACAAAAAGAGTTTGTTTTATATTCAATTAAATTAATTTGGTTTAAAGTACAAGTTATTTATCTTATTAGTTTAATTATTCTTATTTTATATTATTTTGTTTTATTTAATTTTGTTGATTTGAAAAGCACATTTTATTTAAGTTACGTTATTTTAGTTATGGCCATAGTTTTAAAATAATTAGTTTTATAGAAGTAATAATAATAATATAGTTTGCAAGACTTTTAAATAGTTTGTCACTTTTCATAAATTTTAGATGGTGTATATGTTTTACATAATTATGTATATGATTAGTATATTTTATGATTATTCGAAAATCGTCAAAAAATAATAATTATATTTTAAATATTAGGGATGGTTATAGTTTTGAGTTAATAAGTTTTATGAAATTCAAAATACTTTCAAGTTATTTTTTTAAAGTAATTTTTATCACTTTTTAATAATAAGTATGTGTAATTTGCAATCACGCTATTTTATAAATATTTAAAAATTATCACAAAAGATTTTACATTTTAGTTAAATATTTTATTAATTTGCTCTAAGTTATAGCTATAATTTCGAGTTAATTAGTTTTGTAATTGAATTAATCAATTTATAATTAAGTTTATTATTTTTATTTTGTTGAGATTAAGAAACTCATTAATTAATTTATATTAATTCGTCTTATTTGGCTTTTTAGTCGAATCACCAATTAAACTCAATTTGGCTAACTTGTCAATTTTCATAGGCCATAATTGCAATTCTTGTGACTATTTCCTAATTTGCAACGCCCCAGCCCACTTATTTTTCTCAGAAACTCAGCAGCCCACTAAGAAAGAACCCAACAATATAACAATACATACAACACCCAACCCAATTCCAATATAAGGACCCACCGCCCCTGCTACTCTTCTTCTTCAGCGATGCAAACCCAGAAACGCACCAGAAACCCAGCATCGACCCGAATCCAGCAGCTCACGTGAACCAGACAGCAGCAGTACGCATTTTCTTCTCCCTCACGCGTCAACAAGCAACAACTCCCACAGCTTTCTCTGCAACAGCCGCCCATTTGATCTTGTCATTCGGATTTTGAGGGATTTTGGTTGAAATCTTGTACAAGCAGCAGTTCTTTGGTTTTGGGAAAAATTTGAATCGAAGATCGGATAGTAATTCCCGTTTCTGCCCTTGCTCTCGTCCAATTTTCATCCTCTAAAATCCCTCCAATTCGACCCTAATACCTCCTCTATAAAAAGCTTGGGGAGGAACATATTAGGGGAGGGGAAAAAAAGAGGTTAAAAGGAAGAAATATATCTAAACCAAAATCGTTAAAACTATTCGGATCAGCCTTGGCTCTTGCTTGTTTTTGTCTTGTTTGTTCGAGTTTTTCGGAGTCGTGTTTCGGCGGAAGAATCGCTACCCTCCTCAGCTCGTTCGTTTTAGGTCGCTGCTCCAAGAAAGGTGATATTTTTCATCCTTCGTATTACATTTCGATATTAGTTGTTGTTTGAATCTTGTTCATTTTTTCCTTTTTTTTAAATTTTTTTATTTATGCTTTCTCAACTTGAAGAACATTAAGAAAGGAATATAATTGGTTGAGCTTTCCCTTGGGTTGATGTTTCTTTATAAGTAAATGTGCATTTGATGGTTCATATCTATTTTAGATTGATTTTGGTTGTAGAACTCGAGCAATCCCTCTCCATTTAAAGTACCCGCATACAACGACAAAAATAATTTGATCTCGTCCTTGTGCATTAGAAGAAGCTTAAGCTTGGTTGTTTACTATTTTAGCATGATTTTAGTTACTACCGCACTCATGAGTTTATACTTCTTTCCTTAGAATCTTTACTCATGAATTCCATCGAGTTTATCCGCCATATTTTAGCTTAGGAACTGCTATAGCAGATTATGTTAGACAAATTGCTACTATGTCAATCATACATTATGGTACAATTTAGGAATTTGAATACAGCCATAGCTACTATTTTCCTTCCCCTTCATTGATTGTTGTGCCATTCAAATTAACATAGACTGTTATTTTCGACTCGTGATTCAACGAACATTCTACTTGTGTTTAATAGGGGACCATTTGACTATGGAAGATTTTGTCCCATTTGTTGGTATACCGTTTGATTGAGGTTCCAGGATCTAGAATTTATACACTAGCTTTGCTTATCATTGAGCTCATGTGAAGTTTTGTCTAATCTTGTTATGTTTGTAAATACAATTTAAGTTGCAAGAATGGTAAGGAGGCATTTTGTGTGCATCTAAGATCAACATTATGTCTCTATTCTAATTCCTATCACATGATTAACTCTTTATATATCTTAAGACATCTATATGTGGTTTTTTTTTTGGTGTTGGAGTATGGTCTTGGTAAAACGTCAAATATTTGGTAGCCTATTTGTCTACAACAATTTTAGCATGTTGGTTTAGTAAAGTTGACACTATAAACATCCTCTTGTATTTAAGACCATGCAGGTAATGACATCCTTAGCACTATATATATGGCCTAATTTGATTTTAATAAATTTAGGATTAGTACAGTTCCTTATCTTTAGATGTACGTCGAATGTGTAACCTCTATCAATTGATGTTCAAGTTCATTGTGATGCTTTATTGATTTTATTTTTTTTATTTTCTTTTACTCTCTGATCATTTGAAATATTGCATTGGCATATAGTGGATATTTGAATAGAGCTATTTTGTAAAGAGTATTAATGCTCTTATTCATTATGTTAAAGCCTTGTTGTTACCGTTCTTTAAGATTTTCTCCTTATTAAGATAGTGTTGTAGGGTCAATTCTTAAAATTAGTATATCCATGTTGGTTAGTCCATTTTACATTAATTAGATTAAGCATGAATTTTGGCATAGCAATAGATTCAAAATGAGTTGATGAAACTTGGCATATGGCTTCAATAAGGCACTACCATGAGACTTAGTTTTATTAAAAAATGTGTCGTGTGAATACTCGTTTTTGATAAATGTAGTAAATTTCCTTAAGTAGTTTGCTTGTTTAGTCAATGATATCATGTTTTGTCTTGTATCTTAGATATTTACTTTCTTACAGTCAATTGATCGCACACTTAATTATTGTTTATGCCAATTCTAATTTCTTATCACCCCTTTTTATTGCATGTGAAATATATACGAATCCTCATGGGCTTCCACCCTCTCGTTGCATTTCGATGATCGGGCCATAGGGGCCCAATTTTTCTTTCCTTTGAGTCATCCGGGTCATCCGAATAGGGCTGTACAGGGGCTGGAATTTGCAAACAAGTCTCAAAAGCTGAAAATAGGCTGAGATACAGCCTGTATACATTGATATACATCGGTATACACTCATATACAGGTCAAAAACACAGGAATACAGGGCTGGAGCAAAATGCATGTGTTCGGAAGCAAGAAATACATGAAAAGGGCTGATATACATGCCGATATACACTGATATACATCAGCTGTATACCAAAAACGGGAATTGAATCAAAGCTTAAAATATAGCGAAATTGGCCCAAAAAAGGGGCCCAATTTCATTATCTCTCTTACTCTTCTAATGATTCGATTATGTGTTGACTAATCTTATTTGACTCTAACTTTAAATAACTTAATTAGACTCCCCGAAAAATGAGTTATTTTTGTTATGTTGGTTTACTTTTAATTTTTTTTTTTTGTGTTCATTTATTTTACTAATAAGATCTTATGTCATTAATTGAATTAAAACTCTTTGTTCTTGAAAAGAACGTTATTTAATGTTTTTTTACTTAACACACTTTTAGTTCGTTTAAAATTGTTTCAAGTAAAGGTCTCTCCCAAATAAACTTTTAAAAAGCCTTTTCAATTAATTAAAATAAAATACTTGCTTGGTCATTTCTCAAAGAGGGTCAGTCAATTAATTTAAAATGATGTTCATGCTTTAATTTATTAAAATTGGTTTAAATTGTTATTTTAAAACGAATTAAATAATTAGTCTAGTTTTATTAATATTCTAATCACTTACAATTTAATTCAAAATGTTTCATTTTTGGGTTCATTTCTCTAAAAATAAATAAATAAATAAATAAAATAAAAAATAAAAATATGT